AGGATTATCCCCACCAGCGACATCTGGAACGCTGCCCCCACGCTTAAGTGACGGCTCTGTCTGGCTAGGCTTTCGCCGGCTCAGACAGGCTAGCCGGGGGACTTTTGACTGCCTTCCGCGGCGGAACCTCGGGCCGAGGGTGCGTGATCTCACTATTCGCGGGAGCGCATTCCCCCGAACCCCCATCATTCGGTGCGTCAGCACCTGCCGCTTTAGGCACGGGTGCGCCCGTGACCCCAGGTGCTTTGACCTCGGGTCCTTTGGCACAAGGAGCGGCACACTTTGGCGGAGGGCCAGCGGCCGAAGATAGGCATGGCATCGATCCTCCCACCTTCGGTGGCACACAGCTGGAACTCCTTGTGGCCCCACCTCTCCATCTGTTAGCGGCTTCGCGCTTGGACAGGGATGGAAAATCATCGGTGTATGCATCCTTGGGAAGCTCGGGAGGATCAGGCTTAACCTTCAACAATTGCTTCCCGGTGGCAGGCTTCAAATCGATTCTGTGGCCGCCAGTCTTAGACGGGCCACCAGTCGTAGTCGGGCTATACCCGCACGCCTGCGCTGGCTTTGCAGGTATCGTCCCTCTCTGATTGCCACAAACTGCCGGCGAGAGACCGCGACTTGCGGCCGACTGGCCGAAATCGGCCATTGCTTGGCCCAGCCTCTGCCTGCCCGTTGCGGGCGGCGTCGAGGACCGGACGCGCTGAGCCATTGTCTGTGGCCCTTTTCCCGCGTAGGGGCGAGGCACAGACTGCTGCTCAGAAGTCCTTGCACTGGTCGCGGCAGGCGCATTGGCCGATGACGCATGACTTGTGGCGCATTGGCCACTCGACATCGTCCTAGGAGCAGAGATTACCTCCGCCCATGGCGCATCCTCAGATGAGGACCACCGGTCCACCGGTGTGAGGCCTGCTCTGACTCCGCACTGCTTCGCAGCGCTCAGGTATGACTCCGATGGTTTCATCAGCTAATCATTTTCTACCATGAAATCCAGAGCGATGGCCAGGGCTTCCCGGACCTCATCACTCATCGCGTACTCACGCCTCAGCACACATACCAGGTCGGTGACCGCCGAGACAAGACCCATAAACTGGTGTCCGCCTCTTTCGATACCGACAACGCCGCCGTTTAGGCTCTTCTTTGAGCAGCCGAACCACATCGCATTGGATGGGTAGGCTGGGAAACCGGCATCGCGGCACTTCACGAAAAACGTGGTTGCAACCTCCTGCATGGCTGTTCCATGCCAAACGATACCAGGACCCGACAAGACTATCGTCGGTGCCTGGCTCCGGCCGCCCTTATTGGCGAATGCCTTCATCCTGGACATGTATATGCGAAGTTTTTTTCTTGACTTTTGTTGGATTCTTTGTCTAATACTAGTTTTTTGCAAAAAACTTGAACCATTCAATTTTCACCAGAAGAATATTGAATCATTCGTGTTTTTTGGAAACACACAAAAGTTCACACACACGGCCGCAATTGACACACTGTGGATCACGTTTGCGTCTGACGGACGGGGGACGCATTGATTAAAACTAGGCGCGGCCGCAAGGATGTGTTGCTTGCCTGAGCATATAGCTGCAAACAATTGTTTTACCGTAGGCGCAGAAGTGCAGACTGCACGCCATGATCTATCCCAAGGTTTTAAATGGCTTAAAACTGCTGATTCCCATCTGTTCTTCCAGCTTGGTCCCAGGAAGATGGGCGCCCGTTTTTCACCTCCGCCAGGCACACACAGGCCCGCAGATAATGTGTGAGTGCAAATTGTTGGTTCAACCGATTCACTGACAGCTGGCAGCACGTACTTTCAGTCCCGCTTAGTCAGTTGCATGTGTACCCTTGGCTAACTGAAAGGTAAAATTGCAGCTTTCCATCTTTCAACTCATCCACTGAAAGATGGAAATCAAATTTCACCTTTCAGTCCTGCCAGTACGCATGTGTGGGCCAACACTGAGAGGTAGAAGCGGTGGTTTTCAGTTTCAACTGACCCGTCGAGGCTGACAACGCTGTGCTTTCACGCATATGGCTTTGAACTGAAAGGTAAAATTGCCGTTTTCCATCTTTCAGCTGATCCACTGAAAGATGGCAAATATAATTTTACCTTTCAGCTCCGCCAACGTGAGCGCAGGTCGTGGTGTAGATTGAACACCCTATTCGCAAGCTGAAAGGTAAAAATCGTGGTTTCCAGCTCTCAACTGACTCATTAACGCTGGAAACGCTGCCTTTACCTTCCAGCCGACACTTACAGAGTTGTTTGTGTGTACCTAAGTGAAAGGTAAAATTGCTGTTTTCCATCTTTCAACTGATCCACTGAAAGATGGAAAATGTAATTTTACCTTTCAGTTTCGCCAATGTGAATGTGTGTGGTGTACGTTGAACACCCTACGTGCAAGCTGAAAGGTAAAACCTTTTTCAGCGTTCAACTGACCCATTGAACGCTGGAAACGCGGCCATTTTACCTTTCAGCCTCGATTGAAAGGGCAGACCTGCGCGTGGCCTACTAAAAGGTAAAGCTGCCGGTGTCCATCTTTCATCACACTGAAAGATGGAGGCGCGTACGGCTTTACCTTTCAGTTTTGCAGACATGCATGTCACTCTCGCTGAAAGGTAAAAACTGTTGCTTTCCATCTCTCGGCTGTTGAGCTGACAGATGGAAACACAACGTTTTTACCTTTCGGTTCTGCCATATATTTGACAGGCGCCGTCGCATGTTCGACGGCTCAAGCTGCGGGAATGCCGATGGGCATCACGGCCCGCCTGAAGCTGCTGGCAAAGCGGACCAGTGCGCCCATTCAGCCAGCTTGAGCCTGCGTTGGGATGATTGCACGCGTGTGCCACAATGCATTTACTTATTTGGCTCTAGCTTTTTGAGGCACATGCCGCCAGAGGCGCCGCGCACCCCGGAACAAAGCCAAAGCTCGCGCCCCGAGCCCTGCAGGGACCCTGAACTCGCACAGGCGGACCAGTCCCAACAAGCGCACGCAGAACAGCAAGCTCCTGCGCAATCCCGGAAGCGCGACCTCGTTGAAGTAGATCGCCTGGTTGTCTCTGCCCGCAGGGTGCTCAAGCGAGGCACCCACATCCTGGAAGACCAGCTCAAGTTTCAAAGGGAACAAGAGCTTCGCGAAATCTGGCTGCACCACCGCATCGCCAATCTCGAGCTCATCATAGAGGAGCTGACCGCGCCAACCTCACCAGCCCCGGACCGGTCCTTGCAAGAGGGCGAGCTTCGCCCAGGGCGGGTGCCGCAGCAGGTCTCCTTCGCACAGCAGGCTTCGCGGGTCGCCAAGCCCAAGGCGCCAGTGCGGCCGGGCCCACACGCCTAGCTTTGGCGGAAGGGGGGGGGGAACAAGCCAGCAAGCAGCGCAGCTCACAACCTGGATACCCTACACTTCAAACACACGCCCTGCGCACAGTTGGTTCACGCATGCATCATACGCAGCACGCATGGCGTATTGCCACTCGCCTCGCCGCCCACACCCCCGCAATTGTGTGTTCAAAAGCCAATAGCAGAGCGCATCACCAGCACCTTGCATCAATCTAGATCTGGTTTGGCTGCCATGGCATGCAATCTGGAAGAGGATGGTCACCAGCTGGAGGCCTGCTTGTGGTTGCCACGCGTCGCAGAAATTGCAATTCTTTTCACCAGGCCACCGTGGTGAACGCCTTGGGCAAAGCATTGGCACCCCTCCTTTGCCACGCCAGCAGCGCCACGGCTTTAAGGGCTCACGTGTTCCTTCCCAGCTGCCAGCCTGCTTGCCCAGGTGCGGACTCTGTGGCGGAAGGCGCGACGAAGTTTGCGGACATCTCCATCAGCCTCCCGCTCAGCTTTGTGGAGCATCAGATGTACGCTCCGGTGCACGCGACGCTCACATGCTTGCGCTGCTTGTTTGCAGGTAACGCGCTCACACTTCGCATTCGCATTCGGTCTGGCACGCGCTGAGGCGATTTGAAGGTCCCACGCACGCCGGCGCCCAGGACATTTGAGGCCGCAGCCACTCAGCCGAAGCACATTCACTGACCCACAACACACACACACGCGCCCCGTTTTTTGCCCAGGTCTGCATCGCGGCTTCGACCATGAACAGCTCTGAGCAGGCCCTCCTGGCTTCGCTCCTCAAGCGCGCTGTCGCCCGGCTGAGAACCCTCGCGTCGAGGACAACGTACTTCTGGCATGTGTTATTTTTGGGCCGATGCTAGGCAGCATGTGTGCCTCCGATAACGCTTGCCAGGGGGGCCAACAGCGTCAAGATCGAGGTGCTCAAGAACTTGCCTTGGCCTTACCTTTCATTCCAGTTTTGAACTTACGGTCATGTGTCTTCTGAGTTTGGCAAGTTGCTGGAATAAGGATTTGGAAAAAGGAGCCGATCGAGGACTCCTCCAGTTTGCGCGGCGAGCTGGATGAGCTGTGTCTCGGCTTGACAACGTCACAAGTGTGCTACTCCCAATCCAACTGCCGCTTCCCCCCGCCGATGTCGTGACCCCAGGCTGCACCAATCTCCGGAGCCTGCTTCGTCCGCTGCGGACACGGCCGCATCGTCAGTGCCCAGCTCCTCGGAGCCAGCTGGCGACGTTTTGAAGGCCTGTGCTGCAGGGGGTTGCGCGGACAGGCTCATTTCTTGTTTAGTTGGGTTTTCGCAGGAGCTCAAGCGCAAATATGAGGAGGCGTGCCTGGAAATCTTCGGCCACGAGCCTCTGCTTAGAGTGGGACAGCTGAGAAATTGACGATGCAGTTTTGACAAACTGCATCGTCATTTTCCAAGAATTGAAATTGAAAAGTGTCAGTTTCAGCGAAACTGCACTTTACAATTTCATCTTGAGTTGTGCCCTGTGCCACCTAGGGCCCAATCGAGGTGGAGGACGAGCTGGAGCCCACAGCGGCGCTGCTCGACCGGGACCGCCTGCATGTGGACCCTGCTGCACAGGACTGCACGTGGCGTGCTAGCTAGCGCATCACAGCCATTAATGTACGGCTGTTTGCAGCCATACATGCGTGGCAGGACCCAGCTGCAAAGGCGGCCAAGAAGGTCGCTCCGGATGCCAAGGCCGTCAAGGCCCCCAACGCTGGTGACCCCACGGCCGCCGACCTCAAGCCTGCAAAGGCGCCCAAGAAGGCTGCCAAGGCCAAGGCCCGGGCAGCCTCCCCAGAGGAGATCAAGTTGCAGGCCCAGCGGGTCTTCGCGAGAAGGATGAGGCCCAAGACCCCAGCCGCACTGGAGGTCTGGGACGTCATCGTGAATGTCTGGTGCGAGCGGCTGGCCTGAAAGTACTGTTCATGGTGAGTTCGCCACATGTGCCTCATTGATGCGTTCCGCATCTCAGGAAAATCGCCCCGAGCCTGCAGTTCAAGCACAACATGAAGTCGCAGTACCAGTGGTGGGACACAGCCCACGCCAAGGTGCACAGCATGCCAGGGGCGCGCACAGCCACGGCAATGAAGGACACACTCCTCATGCTGGCACCGGTGTTTTTGACCGGGTTTGACCCGGCCGAGTAGCCATCCGGGCGCTTTTAAACAGGCTGAGGCGCAGTGCCGAGCACATCCAGCAGCAGTGCAAATCCACCACACCATCTCAAGCCACAACCTCAACAGCATAGGCAGATGCCAGACATCAAGCAGACCTGCAAACAAGCAAGCCGCCACACTTTACCCAAGCTCACAAACAAACGAGCGCCAGCCAGGGGGGGGAGAAGAACCAGCTAGAGCGAAGAGAAAAACCGCACGCGCAAAACAACTCACGCACGCACGCAGCAAACTGTACCCCAGCAATCTGCCGGTCTTGTCGCAGCCTGTTTTTTTGCTCGCGCTCCGGATCGATTTCCTGTCTATAGCCAGCATATGATGCTGGTACGATGATTGAGCCAAAAATGCATGGACCGTCATTTGCGTTGGGGACCCAGCCAGTTGGTCCTGCAATTCAAGTACCAATTGGGGAACCACACATCTTTCACACGCTAGCTTTGCTGGACCTTCTGCTGTTTCTCCAACAGAGTACTTTGCACCTTGCGCTTGCCTTCCTGCTCATGCATGTGCGTTGGGTTGTTGCATCGCCTGTCAGGTACCAATGTGCTGAACACGAACTTTGCAACTGATGGTGCCTCCCCGCCCGTGCTGGAGTGCTTTCACACGCGCATTGCGACTGCCTAGCTTGTGCTTGTGGGCCGAGACATTTGGGCTTGCAACCTGACCTAGCCGGATCGGTTTGCGTTAATTTGTTTGTGGCGCGTTGGGCGCTAGCCTCAAACACATGTTGACAGGGCGATTGAATTGAAAATGAATTGCTATCTCTGGAAAATGTTTGACCTTGATCCTAGGCTTATGCGCACGCTGGTGGAGTCTGCGTTGCAAGGCAATGTGCCAAAGCTGGCGATCCTTTGCATTCTCCTGCTGCCCAGCCCTGAGAAACAATTTAATAACTGCAACTTCTTGCTCCTGATTTCCTAGGATATGGAACGCTGAAGTGCCTGTGAGTCCGAAGTACGACGCTTGCGAGTTTTTCTCGGGGAAAGGAGCTGTCAAGGACGCATGGTGGTTTCATTTCAGTTGGTTTCAACATGCATCACTGCGCAGGACGCTCTCAGGCGGGAGTGCTTCAGGGTGAGCGCCCATGATTGGGAGCTTCACCGCTCAATGGACATTTGCAGCCCTGCGGGCATGGCGCCCACGCCTTGGTGTGTCTCTGTTGCTGGGTTTGTCTGATTGTTGGCTAATCTTTTTGGCTTAGGCTACTCTTGCACACTTTGATGTGCCTGGACCCAGATGGACCCCGGCCGTGCACCTACTTGTCTTGCTTCTGGGGGCTTGCCTGTGAGCTCAGGTTTGCGCTTTTTGCGCCTGTTTGTGGTACCTGGGTATGGATGTCAAGAAGCTCCACGGGCCGGCGCGCGTTTCTAAGCATGCTCGCTCGCTCTGATTTGTTCAACTCTGTGCTCCCTTTTGAACGCTCTTCCCAACCCAGGACCAGATCGTGTCCTTGGCTGGGAGGACAACTTTTGCGTCGCTCAGGCCAACTTGATGGTTGCAAGGCCAGGAAGCTGCACACATAGACTCCTTTGCCTGAGATGCCTTTCCTGCGCAGAACCTTTTTGGCCATCCGCATCATCGAGTGGCTTCGTGGCTCTTGGGTGCTTGAGCAGCCAGCCACCTCGATGATGTTTGCTCACCCTAGGGCACCCGCAGACCACTACAAGGTGAATGTGTATCTTGGGGCCTACCTCCACTGGACTTCCAAGCTTACCAGCTTTTGGTCAAACCGGCTTCTTGCTTGCCTTAATGGAGCTGCCGATGAAATGCGCGCGTTCAGATGTGCCTAGGATGTGGGTGGCCGGTCTTTACCGCAAGTTCACAAATGAGCGCAAGGCTATGATGCTGGAGCGCCGCGAAGAGCTTAAGAAGGCCCCTCCTACATTTCGCAACGCGAACGGGCACGTTTGTGGCACGCGCGCGCTTCATGAAACACAGCACTTTGGCTTCAAAACAATTTGGTGGCGGTGCTTGTTTTGGCTGTTGCTTGGCAGCTTGACATTTGAGCGTGCTTCATCAACCTAAGGGAGTACCCTAGCGAACTGGGGTCGGCTATTGCCTGGCTGGTGTGTGATCATGAAAACCGCGATGATGCACCACTGCCGAGCTACCGCCCCAATGATGTGTTCGATTACCACTCAGGGTGCTCCCATGCAAATTGTTCACACACCGCATTCTACGCGAACCATCCTTTGATCCAGGTACAAAGCCTTTTACAAGGACCACGTCCTTGACCTCGGGGATCAGTGGGAAGACGCGCGGGCCTGACTTACAGATTGCTTGAAGTTAATTACGCGTGTGGCTTATTGTCTCAGGCACAGCTATGGCCAGTGCTGGTCTATCTGAGCCGGAGCCGCACGCTTCGCGTCCCAAAGGGCGGATGGCGAAAGCTGCTTAAGGACATGGGCTTACGCTCTGACCTTTGAGATTGGGGGTGAAAAACTTACTCTCGAGCGTGCCGCGTGATATTGCAGATGTGTCAGTAACGCCTTACTGAGTACATCTGCAAACATACGCGACATGCGCACTTGCAAAGCTTGCGAGTGTGGATTTGTACGGTTTTGTACGGTTTTGTACGGGTTTTGTACGGGTTTTGTACGGGTTTTGTACGGGCCACGCACGATAAAGAACGTCAACTAAAACTAAAGCTAATTAAATAGTGTGACCATATTGGCTTTGTACGGTTTTGTACGGTTTTGTACGGTTTTGTACGGTTTTTGTACGGTTTTTGTACGGTTTTTGTACGGGTTTGTACGTCTTTTGCTCTGTTGGTGCATCTTACGGAGATGTTTTGATGGGCAAACCCTTGGATCGGATTGGGATCTTGCGTTGCATTAAACAAGAAAGAAATATCAGTTTTTTCTTGGAACAATCCCACCCGTGCAAAAACCGTACAAACCCGTACCCCCTTTACTAAACATGCTTTTGGGCACCCGCACGCAACCCGTACAAAACCGTACCCTCCAAATCGTCCGAGATTTTGGCTTCCCAGCGCTGATGGCCTCCCAGCTTAGCATCAGCACTTTTTTGTCGGGCTGCCGGCATTTGGACCGCGAGCTTGAGATGTCTCAGGCGAAAGAGTTCCCTGCCAAAATTTGATGTCTCAATTTGAGCTGGCAGGCACGCTTTTTCGAGGCCAAGCTTGAGCTTCAGCAGGCACGTTTGTGGTTTGCTTAATCGGCGCTGTTTCAGTTGCCCCCATTAAGACGAAGGAGAACATATGGGCATCCTTCCTAGCGCACGTGAGTCATCACGAGCATTTTTCACAAGTAAAACCGAGTTTTCCTTGTGAAATTCCTTGCTCAGGCTGAGAGCCCCCAGACTATCCCAGGCCTGCTACAATCAGTGTTTGGCCAGCATCCCCAGCATCCGCAGATACGCAGCCTGAGTGCCTCCTGGAGACCCAGCCTGGTGACATCTTCGCGGACCCTTTGCCGGCTGAAGTGACACCTGCTGAGACCAAGACGCTGGAGGCTCTGCGTTAATAGCGTGTGCGTCAGTTTACGCATGTCCCAAATTCAAGGTTCGAATCAAACCAGATTCGAACCTTGAATTCCAACACAGTTCATGCAAAACCCTGTCATGATAAATGTGACACATGCGCACGCGCAGGACTTGCAGTTGGAAAAGGAGATGGCCGCAGAGCTTGATCGTCTAGATCGCGAAGAGGAGGAGCAGAAAAAGCAAGCAGCTGAACAACCGCAAAAGCGCAGCGCGGCAAAGTCAAAGGCAAAAACGAAGGCAGCACCAAAGCGCAAAGCAGCAGCAAAGCCACAGGAAACAAAACAGGATGAGGAAGAACAGGAGCTTCGCAAACTGATGCAGGAACAGGAGGAGTTGAAAGCGCAACTTCAGCAGGAACAGCAAAGAGGCGAAAGGAAACGCAAACTGCGCGAGGAAAACGCCAAGCTCGCGCAGCAGTTGCAAGCTATGAAGGCCAAGGCTAACAGCCTGGACACGTCAGCTGGCACACGCCAGTCGCAGCAGACCACTGTCTCCCCGTGCACGCCCTCCCCAGCACAGACTACGCCAGCAGCCACTCCTAAGGTGCCAGACGCAGTGTCTGAGGCATCGGCCCCGTCGTTTGCGACGCCTTCCCAACCTGCAGCGCCAGCCCCAGACAAGGCCTCAGCCTCTGATAGGTCTTCCTCAGCGCCTGCCACCACGCCAGTGCCTGCCACACAGCCGGAACAGCCAGCGACCACACCGTCCGCAGCCCCGACGACGGCCACAGCTGAGACAGCTGAGAACGCCGAGGAGGCGCTATGCGCAGTGTTAATCATACTCTGTGCCACGCAACCTGCACTAGCGCGCAGGAGCGTGGCACGGCGGCAGCTTTGCAAAGCCTCCGCCGCGCTTGCAGAAACCCGGGCAGAGCCACCTATGAGATGGTTGCCGCTTTCAGGTCCAAAGGCAACCCCCGAAAGGAGTTGCTGCGCAAGTGGATCGCGTCTGGTGAGTGCGTCACAAAGTGCACCATCTCCATCATCAAGGAGAGCCGGCATGATGAGCCCACGCCCTAGCAGCAGTGCCAGTCCGTCACCCATGTTGCCTGTTCTATGGCATTCTTTTGCCCAGGACATCCGAGATGCTGTCGGGGTGGCTCACCGATGAGCAGGTGCTCCAGCACTACGCTGGAAATGCCGCAAAAGCGGGGCAGAAGCTCGTGCAGCTGGCAGTTTTTTGGCTGAGTAGCACGCCCACTCCTGTCTGTGCACTTGATGTGGCCTAGGGTGCAAGGATGATCCCAATGTGTCCGGCTTCTCGGTCTACAAGCTCATCATCCGCATGGAGGATTCTGACAAGAACACCGTGTCAGAATCCGCCAGGATGGTGATCACCCCGATTTGCGAAGATTGCCGCCCAGAGGCCAAAGCCTTGTTTTCTGAGCTGCCCTTCGATTGCATTACACGCCACACGTGTCATGTTGCGTTAGCGGCCCAACATGCTTGCGCTCAGGAAGACCGCCAAGG